GGGTCCTCAACGGACATAAACTCCGCCAGGCTGGCTGTGAGGGGCCGTTGGACCATAGGTCTGGTGTCCCAGGGTGAGCCTAACTGAGCCCCATGGCCAGCAAGCGATGAACTTTCAAGTCTGTGGTAGAGAGGCTGTGATCTGCATTGGTGAAGAAAGTGCCTACACCTGGAAAAGCGCAGGTTCCCTGAAGTATGTACTGAAACCTCACCTAGGAGACCCCCCCCACCATGGGGAGCCACAGAGCCTCTCAGAACGCCTGAGCAGATGTGTCTGGAGAAGGCCTCAAACCACGAAATGCTGCTGCTCCATGATGCTCGGACTGCGCCCATGGTCTTAGCCTCTGGAGAATCTCTGAGTCAGGGCTCTGCTACCTCGGCCTCCTCAAGGCATCTCATGCACCCGTGTCTTCTGCATGAAGCTGACCTGATCCCCCCATCCGCCCAGATTGGCCAGAAGGTAACTGCTCCGTATATATCGGCACTTGGTTCTTCGGCTGTCTATGTGCTTGTCACTGCGAGTAAGAGCCGTTCGTTCTTGGTCCTTGTGAATCCCCAGCACCCAGCATAAGGCCTGGCATGCTGTAGGTGCTTAATAAATGCTTGTTGATCGATCAGTTGGTTCAAGGGATTTATCAGCCAAGCTTCAAAGTATGCTGCTACTCCCTCGCGTTTTTTTTTGCCCTTTGATGGTCCGGGAGCTGTCACCTGTGGGGAAAGCTCTGAGTTTAAATGCAAATTTTATCACTCACAGAGCTCTGGATATTCACTTTTATAATGTCAACCTCCAAGTCTAGCAGAGCAATGCTTCTGAGTGGCAAATACCTCTGCCTTTTGGCTCCCCCTAAAACCACCCTTTCAGAAGAAATAGAATTGCCCTTTTGGAAGCATCTGGGTGTTGAGGTGGAATCTGGAAGCTGAGCCTGGAATCAGGAAACCCTGAGTTGAAATCCAGCCTCAGGCACTTAATAGCTGTGTGACTCTGGGCAAATCACTTCACCTTTGACTATGTTTCCTTATCTGTAAAATGGAGATCATAACAGCATCTCCCTCCCAGGATTGTTGTGAGGATCAAGTGAGATATTCATAAAGCACTTTAGCACAGTGCCTTACACGTAGTTGTGTGTTTCGTCCTTGTTCTTGAAGACGACCATGACATCAGGGAGATGATGACATGACTTGCAGTTGACCTTGATTTGAGTGAGGGAGGGCTGTGCAGGGTCATCAGCCTCACTTTCTCCTCCAGTGGCCAGATATCTGGCCTGGGTCCGGTGGTCAGATATGGATCAGGAGACTGGAGATGGCTCAGGATGCAGTGGGGGGCCTTGGCCCTTGTAAGCTAAGGTCATTCCAGGTTCTCACTTTGAGGCAACGCCCACTCAGTGAATAGGCCTCTTTCAGAAGTGAGTCAAGGAATAGCCCCTTTAGTAAAAAAAAAAAAAATCAAACAGGGAGGGGAGGACCCTTAGGGTTGCTGTCCAAACAAATGCTTGTTTCCTTCTATTGTGATCATATTAACTTGATTGGGCATCCTACCCTACCAGGCCCTGTCTTTGCCTACCCTTTGTACCTCCTTCAAGAGAAGATGGGCAGGAAGTTGTTATTCCACTCTCTTGCTTGTCTCTTCAGTGTCCCGTGTAGTGGGTACATCCAGGAGTTGTGAGCCCTTAACATGACTAAAGGATGAAGACTTTGTTTGGGACTTTGACGGCACCCCAGCTTTGAATGGCTCAGGTGTCCCTAGCTGCTAATGGAGTCATTCCTAACCGCTGTGCCCTCTGAAACCCTTTTATTGATAACACATTACATTGCCTTTCATCTTATACATGTGCCTTCCTCTGGAAATTTCTTTGTATGTATTTTGTAGGTAGTTTTCTGTGTGTATGTTCTTCCCCATAGCCCTCCCAGAATGTAAACTTGGTGATGTGGTGGGGCCTTCAGTGTGACTGTAGAACTATATAAGTCCCTAATGGGGAGAGGGAACTCACCGTAGGCCTGTCTTCCAGGGGAGTCTCGAGGAGGGTAGTGCTAAGGCCCTGGGAAGAAGCCCTGGGGCTCATGGGAGGGAAGGAGCATGACTTGATTGTTTATGCACTCCTGTGAGTCAGTCTTTTGTGGTTTTCCATACTTTCAGTGAGGTGATAGAAAGGTTATCCTGTATACAGTATGTGTTGTCAGCTTAAATGCTCGCCGAAGACTTGGGGGCTCTTTTTATCCCCAAGAAAAGAGCTGTAGTCTGACATTCCTGAGGAAGATCTAGGTAGGGGCAAAATGAGCCAAATTCTGGAATCACCGGTTAAAACCCTGGATGGAAACAGCCAAAGAATAATTAATCTGGGGGAGAGGTCCCAGACTGAAAGTGGGAGATGTCGGGCCAAATGTAGGGTGGTGGGTCATGGCTCACAATGACAAAGTGAGAATTTTTGGCTGAGGAACTCAAAGAGCTTTCTGGGATTCCGCCTTTTGTGAACAGGGAAGCAGGGACCTGAAGTACCTGTTTGAGAGAAGCAGCAAGAAGGTGAAAGCATACCAGTGTGTGTGTCTCTATCCCTCTACTGCTCCCTCCCTCTCTCTCCCTTCCCCCACTCTTGTTTCTCTCTGTCTCTTTCTGTCTCTGTCTGTCTCTCTCTACCTCTGTATCTGTCTCTCTCTCTCTGTATGACATTTAAGCTCTAGGGAGCTTAGGTCTCAGTTTCTCCATCAATGTCAGATAACTAACAGCCTTTTTAGCCTTACAAGGATGTTATAAAGATCTGAGAAGATTGGAGAAATGTCAGAGGCCGAGAGAAGTTAAATAATTTGTCCAGAGTCTCCCAGGATTTGAATCCAGGTCACTGCCTTTAAGTCCAGGCCTCTTTCCACTGTTCTGTGTTGTCAGAGCAGGAACTAACCCTCCATGGTCCTTCATGCCAGGGAGAGCTCATCTCCATGTTGAACCCAAAGGGAATCATTAAATGGGGTGAATTTTCATATTCCTTTTCCCGTGCTTAATTGAGGTATGGAGGGGATGCTGGTCTGGCACAGAATACCCCACGGGAGTATGGGTTTTGGCAGGTCATGCCAAGGTACAAAGGCGTGGAATGTGGCCTGACCGCAGATGGAGGGCCTCTTGTCCAAACACTCCAGCCAAAGAGACTCAGCATCTCAGCCCAGGCTGCCCACAGGGTTATGAACTTTTCATCCACTAAGGTAGTAAAGGGGGCAGGGAGCTGGGTCAGTGAAGTCACGGAGTCATGAAATATTTACCTCAGGTATGCATATTGCCCCATTTATTGCTCAAATACTCAAAGCTTCTATGATTTTTGAGTGTAGGGAACCCCAATAAGATCCCCATGGGTGACTTAGTAGATAAGTCCTAGAGAATTAACAGAGGCACAGAGGATGAGTGACTCGCCCAGCACACACAGCTAGGAAATGTTGGAGGTGGGATTTGAACCCAGGTGTTTTTAACTCCAACATCCAACTAGACCAGGCTGCCTCTGCACATGCCGCCATTACTGTGTCTGAATATCTGCTATTCCTAGTATTCTGCAATATGAAGTTTGCCCCATCTTTGTTAATATTTCTGAGGGTGTTCTGAAGATGCCTGAATTTACCTTCATTGTTGACACCTCCCTCCTCAGTGTCTTGGAAAGAGAAGCAGAGTAAAGACCCGTTGGGCCCCAGGAAGAGAACCTGTGTTTATCCTGTCCTTCATTTCTTCTCTTTCGCCTCTGGGAGGTACAGAAGGGCCAGGCACAGAACTTCCTCCTGGGCTATGCCTGAGGTCAGACGGTTGAAGAGAATGCACACTCAGATGGCCAAGGCCACAAAACCCGCCATGATCCTTTGACCCACATTGACGCCGAGACTGTTCCTTTGGTATCGCTGGCCTTGTTGATGTGGTTAGTCTAATTCTCTGCCCCCACCTTGGACTCGGCTTGGATGAAACAGTGGTAGGAACCCAAACCTATCCCCAGGGACCAGCGGGCTTTTTCTTGGAAAAGCATCAGCTCAACTGGCCAGGGAAGGGAATCTGGATTTTTGTGGCCTGGGCTAACTTGGGCCAAAGAAGCCAACCTTCTGTGATCATCATCTCCATCTCCAGAGTGTGGCCATGCCCTCTGGATCCCCTCTGCTTGCCCTGCTCCCTGCTGGGACCGCTTGGTGTCACTTGCATCTCACTTTACCACTGGCACTTCCTTCCATAGTTTAAATATTGTTGCATAGAGAAATCTTGCAAATTGCTGCTGCAGGGCTGATCTACAGCCTTTTGGATGGAGAACATGCAATCACAAGCAACTTTTGAGCATCAGTCTCTCTTCTTTCCCTTGGGATTCCATCAGCCTCCCTGGATTTTGCCTTGCCGTGGCTGCCATCTCACAAGGCAATTCCTTTTCCATCGTGAATCATTTGGTTGCCTCTCCTGTATACTTTGGATCTCTGCTCTGTTCTTCCTAGAATAGGATGACCCTATCTCTATGCAGACTTCCCAAAGAGGCCAGCCCGCTGCCATGCTGGATGACAAAGTAATAAACTCTGCGGGTTCTGCTCTGCACTGCCCCCCACCCTGCCCCCTACATTGCAAGACTCAGTCGGCCTCAGGACTCCTTCCAGATGTTGTGTGCATGGTCCTCAGGCATGTTGTGGTGACTGTTACTGTGCCAGTGGATTTCAGCACATTTGTCCAGCTTTGAAATGATTCCTTCTTCCAGATATTTATGTACAAGTAAAACCAAAGGCTGACATCAAGGCACCCCTCTTGTTCCCTCTATTCACCCTTCTGCTTCCCAGCCCAATAAACTTTACTAATCCCGATCCGCCTCCTTTGCTAGCCAGGTCCCTCCAGCAGGAACCTCTGGCTTCCAATCCCAGCCCTAGATTTTACTGATGAGCGAACCCTTCATTTCAGATCTTCCTTTCAGGACAATTCTGCTGAACGTCATTCTGGGGCCCGTGGAATGAGGAGGGGGCAGTGTAAAAGGGAGGAGATCTGATGCTCTCTCTTCTGTTTCCCTGCAGATTTGCTGACCATGAAGGAATACCACTGTTTGCTGCAGTTACTCTGTCCAGACTTCCCACTGGAGCTCACTCAGAAGGCAGCCAGGTGAGGCTTTTTAGCTGGACCCCAAATGGTAAGAATGGAGTGGAAACTAGGCTCTGAGCAGAGCCACTCTAGAGGAAATGGTCTGTGGAAGGAGAGCCCCCGAGGAATCCTGTGTTGCCGTTCTTTCCTAAGTGGGCCTGAGGCTGTCCTAGGATTACTGTGGTAGAGTGCAGGGTTCGGATGAGTCTGGAAGCAGGCACAAAAAGGAGCAGGTGAGGAGGACCAGCAAAGCCTCTGGGAAGGAAGGCATAAGAGCTGTCAGTGACTTAGAAGAGGAGGTCTTGGGAATGGACTGAAGCTCTGGAGGTGGTAAAACATCGTTGAGGTTTGAGGGGAGAGAAACATTTACTAGTTTACTACTAAACCAAAAAGAGACTTAGCTTTCAGAAGCACTTGGCAGAAAAAGTCTGGGAACTCTAGCTCTCTGTGGTTGGTTGTACTGCCTCTAACACTTCTGGCCAGACAAGGTAGTTGAGGTATGCCTCGGGGAATTTTTATTTTCTAAGTATAAAACTTGATTTAGGATAGCAAACAGAAAGACAGCAAAACTGGGGAATGCTGTAAGTGAAGACTTATCCTGAAAGTATCTCCCTGTTCCCCCTTCCTTGCCATTATGACAGACTTTTTGAGTCTGCGTCCCTCAGAAGCCCACGTAGTAATCCAGAAGAGGACCTCACCTCCGTGAAGGTGTATTTGTGTGTGCCACGTGCACACACACATGTGGATCCACACCCATCATCTCCATCTAGCTTTCCGTGGCCTTGTGTCTGTTCCTGGCACTCTGTCCATCTGCAGCTGTCCGGTGTCACAGGTTCAGCGCAAGGCCACGGTTTGACCTCCACCTCAACTGACTACCTTTCTCCTGTCAAGAGCTGCTTTTCATGGCTCAGGTTCCCAGGGTTCTGCCCTCCTGAAACATGAACAAACAAACCCAAAAGACTTACTCCTACTCAAGAAATCAGGAGGTCTCACGCTGCCAGAGACAGATACCCAGTGGAATTCCCATTGCCGCGGGCCATTTGGCAACTCATGACTGTAGCTAATTTTGCTGGCCATGTGTGAGACTTGTTTTGGAATCGTTTCTAGACACCTTGGTTTTTTTCATCTCTCTCCTCACACACCCAGGACACTTCTAAGGAAATGTCTTCTCCAAGAGCAGCTCACAGGTCACGCCAAAGTCTTAGGCCCTGCCGTTTCTGAGTTATGCACTAGCCAGGGAGCCCTGGATGGTTCTGAACTGAAAAAGAGATGTGTGCCCCCTCATGGGCCAGTGGAATGGATTTGCCCCCAGCTTACCATCACAGTTTCCCCCGGGCTTCGACCAGGCTGAGGAAGACCTATCCCTGAAGAAGAATTCTCTGGAAGAGTTCAGCCTGAGAGCTGGTGTAGAGAAATGTCCCCAGGTCCTCACCCTGACCTTGGACATATACCTGATTAGTGTGAGGGCAGGACTCTGATTGGCTGCCACCAGTCTCACTCACACTCTCACTATTGCCCTTGCTGGTCAAGCCTGTGGCACCCTCTTCTTCCCCCTTTCTCCTTGGGAGGGGAGGACTGTGTGCTACCCCAACGACCTCTCCTGGCCCCCGCTCCCGCCAGTTTGCATCCTTCCCCTCTACCTGTGTCCCTGCGTCCTGGACCCTCACAGGATGTAGGACAAGATCATTTCATCTAAGCCCCTCTCACGCACGTGGAGATGAAAGCCCAGAGACTGAAAGTGACCTGCCAGCCACAGAGCCAGACCTTGAACCCGGGGACTTTGGATTAATTGCCACTGAATAGATGAGGCTAGTCGTAGCATGTGTCAAGGACCGCCATGTCCCTCAGCATCATTGCCAGTGGGTCTCTGGAGCTCCTGTTTGTCACACCCAGAAGTCTGCTACTGGGATGCAAGATTGCCCAGCCTGGATCCAAGGATCTGTGGCATCATGGCCGCAGTGATCTGCCCAGGGAGCCTGTCGGTGGGCACATTGTGGCAGTGCCAGCGCCAACGTCAGGGGAGTGACGGGGGTGAGTCAGGAAGGCCATGATCCTCCTGGGAGACCATCACACTTAGGCAGAAGTTCGTGATCCCCGTTCTCCTTGGACGGGCGTCTGTGGTCCCTAGAATTGCACATCCATGACCTTCCTGTGCCTTTCCCCACTCCATGGGGACATCTTACCTAAGAGCTACTTGGCTGTCGTTATTCTGCGCCTACCCTGGGGCTAGGATGGATGGAGGGTGTTAACCCCAGGAGGGGGTGGCCTGCTGCTGGAAGAAGAACTGAGGACTCCATTGCCCTGGCGGACTTCTGTCCAGAGGGCCCCGGAGGCCTGGGGACACACCCCAGAAGGAGGCTTCAGTCTGGGATGATGTTTGTGTCAAGGAATTTAACCCACAAGGCTGCTGTAAACCGGAGGCCCTATTTGGGGGACAGTCTTTGCACATCTGCAGGCTGTGTGTACTGTTAGCAGCATAGGCCGGGCCCAAGAAGAGCAGGGGGGAGAGGGACCTTTGGACGTGTCAAGGACCTCGCCTTCGGTGGGGTGGTCACCTCTTCCCCCCATCCATCCAGTGAACACATTTGCTGGTTAAGTGATCTCAGACTCAGATGGCCGGAGTCACTGGAGCATCTCCTGCCCCCTCCTTCAGGGCTCACAAGCCTCGTGCTTCCGCAGCCACCCCCCCCCCGGGGTGTAGTGAGAGGTCCCTGAGCTCCAGAAGGGATGTGTTTAGAATGGCTGACCCAGCTCCCCCGGGCCACGTTTGTGCAGCCCGGCTTTAGAGAACTTCATCCCCTGCTCGGCCTTATTTTCCCAATACTTAGTAGAGAGGAAAGAGGGCTGGGATTTGGGCCCAAGTGCTTGCTGGGGACCCTCAGCAAAAGAGATGCCTCACCTATGGGCCTGTGAAGTGAAGGCTTTGGGTCTCTGCCACCTCCTGATCCATGGCCTGTGGTCGCGTCTTCCTCTTGCTTCCAGGCTGACCCTTTGGCCTTTACAAAGCCCCTGACTCCTGCCAAAGATCTGTCTCCCCAGTGCAGTGGCATGAACCACACCCATCTGCCCGGAGGTCTTTGGGCTCCCCTCTGAACCCATCAGTGTTAGCTCACCTCCTGAGTCATAAATGTTAACAGGGAAATTGCTGTTACACCCTTCGCGCCTGGGACTTAACAAGCACATAATGGCCAGGGTCTGCCTCACAGGAGCCCAAAGACCTGAGCTGCATCATTGGCTAAGTGTGACAGCTGCAGTGACACCTGGGAAATGGCAAAGGGTGTTAGGTAGCGTCCAGCCCTCTGCGCTTAGAAGTGTCAGAGGGGGCTCAGCCCAAAATCGACCTCCTGGCCTTCCCTGAAGCTCTTGGGCGACAAAGAAAGTTTCCCTTCGGTGGCAGAGCTGACGACTTCAAAGGCCAGAGAAGAAAGAGGCAGACCTCCGGACCGGAGCTCTCAGATTTTGTAGGGGCTGTTGCTGTGCAGTAATAACAAATGCTAGGAAGGCAGGGGAGGTCAGAAAATGTCAGGGAGAACGATTGAGGCAAACAGCAGCGTGGTTTTATTAACATCCAAGCATGAGGAGCTCCGGGTGCAGCTGGAGGGTGGGTGTGTCCTGCTCACTTAGGTGTGCTGGTGACCAAACTGCTGGCCAGGCACTTCTTCCCTAGAAGGTGGGACCTGGAGCTTCTCCCCACAGGGGAATCTTCAAGACAAGGGAGGAGGAGGAGCAGCAACCTGGCCACCCCCCTCCCGCCGTGGTTGGCTCACCCACTAGGGCCTTTCTGATGCCTTGGAGCTGGCAAAGCCCGAGAGACCTGAGCTCCCAGAGGAGCCTGGGGCAGGCCGAGCGCACTGCGATGGGGTGGCTTTACTGGGGAGCCATGATGCCAGCACACTGGCCCCTTCTCTTCCCTCTCTGAGGAGCGGGACAGGGCCTAACTACAGTGCCATCTCTCACCTCGGGCTCTGGCCCTGAAATAGGTCGGGAGAAGTAGCTCAGCAGCACTGGGCCTAGGAGTCTTCTCAGTAAACTTCCTGAGGCCAGGGACTGTCTCACTTTTGTCTATGTCCCCTTCTTTAGAGACGCTTTCTGTGTGATATCCCATGAGCATGTAATCACAGCAGGGAAAGCACTGGGGTAAATCAATCCACAAGCACTTATTAAGCACCTTTTGTGTGCCAAGTAAACTAAGTCAAAAGGGAAACAGTCCCTGCCCACAGAGAACTTATGGAGGAGACATCTTGGACACGGATGATCCTGTGTGGGATCTTCCTTTAACTTTAACTCTTGAGATGGTGGATTCCAGCACCAGGCCCTCTGCCCTGACCCTCGGGGTTGACTCACACTTCCTGCTGCCACCCCACGAGCTCACGGAAGGTGGCTCCTCATCTCCTGGAGTCAGAGCCGTAGCTAGTGGAGGTGAACTCGGCCACCGTCACACTGATCAACGTCACAGATCACCGAGTGGTGAGAGACTTGGCGAGAAAGAGCGTCAGACTGGGAGCACTGGCTTCCTTGGCACCTGCTTGGCCCAGCACCAGCCCAGCTCAGTAACGGGAGTCAGAGAGGGCAAAGAGAGAAGACTGCAAGGGCAGCCCCCTCCGAGTGGCCCAGATACTGACTGCCACCTTCCTGTTCAGCCTCCTGGCCTGGTCAGCAGCAGCCCACCCTGTGCATGGCTCTCCTGGGAACCATGCAGGTTTGTTCATTCTCCCCCAAAACCCTGATCCCTCACACACGGAGGGTGCTGGAGGAGCAGGGCACGAGCCAGTAGATCTGTAGAGATGCCTGTTGGCAGGAACCGTCCCTATTGACTCCACATCAAAGCTGGGGTGAGGGAAGGAGGGGAGCTGCCTGTGTTCCTCCGGGCGTCAGGAGCAGCTGGCAGGTCCAAGAGCGGCCCCTTGGTTAGAGGGCTGCTCAGTCAGCCTCTCTGTATTCAAAAACAACCCACGTACCTTGCATCTTCTCCAAGAGATTTGAGTAGAGCTGGAAGGAAGACAGGGATGCACGTGCACACG